CGAGTGTGTGCGAGGCCCCATCCTGCCGCGCACCTGCGCTGGTTCCGGGACGAGGGACAGCAGCCCCCGCCCCCCCCCCCGGTCCTCCTGTGGAGGGGCTGCAAAGGAATGCGGGGTTTGGCTGCAGCCAAGGACGTGGCAAAGCGCCCGATGGTCTCCGGGCATGAAGCAGGGGCCGGGGAGGGTGCGAGCTCTCTTCTGGCCTCCCCTGGTCCAAACGCCAGGGCTGCGTTGAAGCTGCCGAAGGCTCTCCAGGAGTCTGTTTACAGCAAAACTGAAATTACAGTGTTTGTTTAAAAACAGGAGGGCCTCCTCTTGGATCGCCAGCTCCGTGTCGGTCTTGGTGGCCAAGCCCTGGAGCCTGTTGGGCTGGCCAGCTGGCGGCCTGCAACGGACCAGACCGGGCGGGGGCTCGCTTCCCAGGCCGGCTGTTCCCCCTCCCCCCCCCCCCCCACGCTTGGCTTAAGAGAGAATCTGCCTCCTCCGATTTCTCCCACCCCGGCCGAGAGAAGCTGTTGGGGTGGTGCTCTCATGCTGCGTTATTTAGGAGAGCGTTTTTTAGCAAGCACTGTGTTTTCTAGCCACATTGCAAGGGTTTTTTTCCCCCTCCAGAGGTTTTTGTGAAGAGGAAGATGCAACTTGTGTGGAAGAAATGCAAGATTGTTTTAAGGGGCAGTGGGGGGAATCAGCTTCATAGGGAGGACACGTTGGCCAGCTGAGACCCAGATAGACTATGGCAGAGATTAAGCTATTGTTCAGATTAGCCTAGCTATTTTAGGGGTGTGTGCGTGCGTGTTTGTGTGTGTGTCTGTTCATTCCAGGGGCAACTGTAGGGCACCACTGGGGAATAGCAGCGGAGAGGAATGTGATAAACCCACACGGCTTCAGATCTGCTACACTCTCGGCTATCTGAGAGGCTTGTGTTCGTGAGAATCTGAGTTCAGCTGCCGCGTATTTATTTTTTTAGAAGGATAAGCAATTTCACCTTCCCTGGTGCAAGAGGGGCTGGTTGCGTTCAACCCCAAGGAGGTTGGGCAAGAATTCCTCTTGATTCCATATTCTTTGGTCTCGAGGAAGGGGCGTGCTGTTAACATCCCCTTGGGCTGGAACGGGGAGGAATCACAGCCAGGGAGCTGACAGGGGCCTGCTTGGCCATTAGCAAACCAGGCCTTTCATTTGGGCATTTGATTTGTGGAAGATGTGAAATGTACTAACTTCTGAAAGCAAAGGCTTGCAAAGCACTTTTTAAAATTACCTTCTTCTCATGGGTTCCAGGTGATTCAAATAAGCCCAGCTGGGGCTTTCCAAGTATCTGGCCTAGGAACCCTTGGCGTGGCGGTCTTAATTCATGCCACTCATTGAGAGGGAAAGGTGTTTAATCCTAAGCTGAATTCTTGGAGTTCTTTTCTTCCCTCCCCCTGCAAATGAATTTAAAGCAAATGGGAGGTCCAGGAGCCAAAGTGAGATTTCAGGGGGTTAGCTGTTCTTTACCAAAACCAGTTTCTGTCAGTGGGATTATGTTGCAGCCGAGGAAGATAATTAAGTCTGCAATACTGCTCAGTTAGGCATTTGAGAGCATTTTCTTTTAAGGGAAGAGGTAAGCGTTTGTTTTTCATATTTTTAAAGCACAAAAATGCATTTTAGAGCCTCTGGCGATGTTGGAAGAACATTGCGATGATGATGATGATGATATCTACTGTTTTTACCTGGAATGGATGTGTGTGAGAAAGAACAGGGGGCTGAGTCCTGTTTGCATTGGACTGCGAAGGCCCCTTCCGGCGGTCAGTTTTCCAAGGGAATAATATCTGGCCATCTGTCCTTGGTTTAGGGTTGGACCAGTGGCTTTTCCCGGTGTTAACCCTGTATTGTGCC